AGAATTCAGTTGAGTCCTGGATCATGGATTCAGGTGCGTCGTTTCATGCTTGTCATTGCAGGGATTTGATGAAAAATTTCAGGCCCTACAACGGAAGAGTTCGTTTGGCGGATGACAAATCCCTAGAGATCACGGGTATTGGGGATGTTGATCTCAGTACCACTTTGGGTACAACCTGGAAACTGAAAGATGTGAGGTATATTCCAGACCTGAAGAAGATGTTGATCTCAGTTGGACAGCTTGATGAGGAAGGCCATAACGTTAGTTTTGGCAACAAGCAATGGAAGGTGACAAAGGGAAAGCTGGTCATTGCTCGTGGGCAGAAGCATGGTACACTGTACATGGTTGAAGTGTCCACAGATGGGGCAAACGCAGCAGTTGAAGATACAGGGGTCTCTACTTTGTGGCACCAAAGACTTGGGCACATAAGTGAGAACGGAATGAAGATGCTGTCTTCAAAGGGCAAAATCCCAGATTTGAAGAATTCAAAGTTGAGCTTTTGTGAGCCATGTGTTCTAGGCAAACAAAAGAGGGTAACCTTTGTGAAGACAGGGCAGCAACCCAAGATTGAGCGGCTGGAGTTGATTCATTCAGATGTCTACGGACCGACAAAGGTCTCTTCGATTGGAGGTTCCCGGTACTATGTTACATTCATTGATGACTCTACACGGAAGGTATGGGTTTATTTTCTTAAGAATAAATCCGATGTCTTTAACACTTTTAAGAAGTTCAAAGCTGCTGTTGAAAATGAAACAAATCTTAAGATTAAGTGTTTAAAGAGTGATAATGGGGGTGAGTACAGTAGCACAGAGTTTGTAGAGTATTGTGCTGAACAGGGGATCAGAATGCTGAAGACGGTTCCAGAAACACCACAGCAAAATGGTGTTGCAGAGAGGATGAACAGAACACTGAATGAGAGGGCCAGGAGCATGAGATTGCATGCAGGACTTCCAAAGATGTTCTGGGCCGATGCGGTGAACACAGCAGCATACTTGATCAACAGAGGACCCTCATCTCCCATAGGTTTCAAAATTCCAGAAGAGGAATGGAAAGGTCGAGAGGTATCTCTTACTCACTTGAAAGTTTTTGGTTGTATTTCTTATGTCAAAGTTAGAGATGCAGATAGTGACAAGCTCGAGGCAAAGGCAAAGAAGTGTATCTTTATTGGGTACGGGATGGATGACATGGGCTACAGGTTCTGGGACAACCACAGCAAGAAGGTTATCAGAAGTAGAGATGTCACTTTCAACGAGAATGCCCTGTATAAAGATGGTCTTGCAGCAGAAACTAGCAAAGCCAAGCAACCAGAAAACAAGCAACAAGTGGTGTTTGACGGGATGACTGAAGATGACATAGCACAACCTGTTGGTTGTGATGAGACAACAGGAGGTTCAGGGAGCAGTGGGAGCTCAGGAGATACAGGAATGTCTGAAGATAGTGGGAGTGATGAAGATGGTGAAAATTCAGAGGCAGCTACTCCTCAAGTCAGACAGTCCACCAGAATCAGAAGACCTCCTAACAGATATTCTCCTTCAGCAAATTATTTGTTGCTGACCGAGAATGGAGAACCAGAATCTTACTCAGAGGCGCTGACCGTGAAGGATTCCATACAGTGGAAGAAGGCCATGGAGGATGAGTTAGATTCGCTTGAGAAGAACCAAACTTGGTCCTTAGTCAAGCTACCACCGGGAAAGAAAGCTTTGGAGAACAAGTGGGTGTTCAGAATCAAAGATGAAGCTGATGGGAGCAAAAGATACAAGGCGAGGCTAGTTGTCAAGGGGTTCCAACAGAAGAAGGGGGTTGATTACAATGAAATCTTCTCTCCGGTTGTGAAGATGACTACTATCAGGTTGATCCTTGGTATCGTTGCTGCTGAAAATTTGCATTTGGAGCAGCTGGATGTGAAGACTGCTTTTCTTCATGGTGACCTTGAAGAAGACATTTACATGGCCCAACCAGCAGGTTTCCCAGTGAGTGGTAAAGAGAAGATGGTGTGCAAACTCAAGAAGAGTCTATACGGGCTGAAGCAAGCTCCTAGACAGTGGTACTTGAAGTTTGACAGTTTTATGCAGCGGAATGGGTACACTAGATGCAAGATGGACCATTGCTGTTACTTGAAGAAATTCGAATCTTCATACATTATTCTTCTTTTGTATGTTGATGACATGTTGGTGGCTGGAGCAAACATGCAGGAGATCAACAAGCTCAAGAAGAAGTTGTCTGAAGAATTTGAGATGAAGGATTTAGGGGAGGCGAGACAGATTCTTGGGATGAGCATAGTCAGAGACAAGGTGGAAGGTACTTTAAAGCTTTCACAGCAGAAGTACATTCAGAAGGTCCTTGAGAAGTTCAGAATGACGGATGCCAAGCCAAGGAGTACACCGTTAGGGAGTCAGTTGAAACTCTCCAAGCAGCAGTCTCCAAAGACCAATGAAGACAAAGATGAGATGGCTAAAGTTCCTTATGCATCAGCCGTTGGCAGCTTGATGTACGCAATGGTGTCAACAAGGCCGGACATTGCTCATGCAGTGGGAGTTGTTAGCAGGTTCATGTCAAATCCAGGGAAGGAACATTGGGAAGGAGTTAAGTGGCTGTTACGCTACTTGAAAGGTACTTCTGAAATTGCTCTTTGTTTCAGGAGGAATGGAGCAATTCTAGAAGGTTTTGCAGATGCTGATTTGGGGGGCTGTCATGATTCCGGGAAGAGCACTACGGGTTACATATTCACTATTGGAGGTACGGCAATCAGTTGGATGTCCAGATTACAGAAGAGTGTAGCTCTTTCAACCACAGAAGCAGAGTATATGGCTATTGCTGAAGCGGCCAAGGAGATGATTTGGTTGAAGAACTTTCTTTCGGAGTTGGGCATGAAACAGGGGGATTGTGGTCTGTACTGTGACAACCAGAGTGCTATTCATCTCGCGAAGAATCCGGTGTTTCACAGCAGAACGAAACACATCAAGATGAGGTATCATTTCATTCGAGAATTGATTGAAGATGGTACTATAAATTTGAAGAAGATCCTTGGTACGAAGAATCCAGCAGACATGCTTACCAAGGCGGTGACAACGGAGAAGTTGAAGCTATGCATGGCTTCAACGGGCCTTCCAGATACTTGATGAGAAGGCGCGGACGAGAGAGAAAGAGAAAAAGAGAGAGAAATCAGGGGTTTTACAGAAGATACATGTTCTTGGATGGCAGATAATTGTTGACCAAGCCTCCAAGTGGGAGATTGTTGAAGATGGAGTCTTGTTCTTAGGTTCAGAGCAGATACCCGACCGGGTATGGTTGGCCACCCGACCGGGTATGTTGAAGCAGAGACCGGGGGATATCACTGGAAGTGAGACCCGACCGGGTCAGGGAAGGGACCCGACCGGGTCAGCAAGGCAGAAGCCTTCTGTTTTGGAAACCCGACCTGGTTTCCACCGGGTTTGTGTTCTGTGAAGGAGACCCGACCGGGTCAAATAAGAGACCCGACCGGGTCAGGCGACGGGAATTTTAAAAACAGGCTTAATTTTGGGCCTGCGGCTCTAATCTCAGTTTAGGTTTTCCTAAACCTATTTAAACGACTCTTATGTACTTGTAAACCTCTTGGGGGGACGCTGATAATAATACATACTCTCTCTCGTTCGCCGTGGACTAGCGTAATCACCCCGATTGCGTGAACCACGTTAATTCTTGTGTTCTTGCTCTTAATTTATCGTTTATCTTTGCCTAATCGTAACAATAACATTGCAAAAGGATTTAAAATTTGACTTTATTGGAATTGTTGTGTCAAATGATTGTAACAGAAGTGAAGTATGGTCATTTTATTTGCATCAATGAGGATTGAGGAAAGATATTTATTGCATTTGTATATCTCCTGGGCATACACCTTTACACTATCTTGTGCAGGACTTAGAAGTCTCACAGGCCGAGACTAATAATGGCCTTATATTAATCCTTTTGTTCAATGAGACTCTGAAAAATCATTAATATATTTTCAGTTCCTCTAATGGTGTATGTTTTGAAAAGTCTGGATGTATTTTTTTTCATCAATATAATTTAGGATACTTTTCCTTTTAGTCTTTCACCAATCATAACAGCACCTGTGTGATGATCAAACAATCATTCTTTATCATGTGACCATTCAAAAAATACGTAATGTTATTTTCTAGAGTCTTTAAAACACATCTTAAAAACTTGAATGATTAGTTTTACATTGTTCAAACTCCACTAAGTTATGATGACTTTAAAACTTCTAGTATAGTTACAAATGATGAATTAAAAACTTCTAGTATAGTTATGCAACTCACATTGATTTTTTTTTCAAATGGAGATACTACTCTTAGAGTTCGAGAGATCTAAAAAGAAAATAGTGCATATTACTAAGATGAAAAATAAAAACAAATATTTTGTTGAAAATTAAAACAAAATGTATCATACTTGTCATTGAATTGTATATAGTGTTCTTTCTACTATATTGAAAAAAAGTATTTCTGCTTAGGGATGGCCCCGGGCCGGTTCGGGCCTAGGCCCGGCCGGGCCTCGGGTCTGTTTTGTTGGGCCCGAGCCCGAACCAGTGGCCACCGGTTCCGGGCCGGGCCGGGCCAGGCCACCCAGTTAGTTTATTTTTTTTTTTCTTTTCTTCCCCCCCCCCCCCACCCCCACCCCCCCAAACCCCCCAAACTGGTCCTAAACATCAAGCCCAACTCAATAAAGCCCAAAAAAATGAAAAAATAAAAAAATAAAAACAGTTTTTTGGCCCGGACCCGGGCCCGACCCGGCCGGTTCGCCAAATACAGGGCCCGAGCCCGGACCCGCCCCCCACCGGGCCTAGGCCCGACCCGGACCCGAGAACCGGGCCGGTTCCGGGGCCGCACAGTAGCGGGCCGGGCCGGTCCCGGGCCGGGCGGCCCGAACCAGGTCCAAGTCTATTTCTGCTTTTTTCTATTTATACCACACAGTAATTCAACTCATACAGAAAGGGAAAATATGAAATAGAGACCAGAAGGTAACATGCACGGATTACCAAGACTGGAATAATCGATAGGACATTGCCGCGTTGGCAAAATCTTTTCATAATAACAATAGTTAACAAGGTCTCTCATATTAGAACAACATGCTCAAACCCCCCTCAAGAAAGCTACCTGTCTAAAACTAAATCTTAGAGAACCTCTCAAAACCGGCCTGGTTCCAGAATCAGAACCAGACCCGAATAAACATGGGCTGAATAATGAAGACTACTAAAACAAATAATCGTCTTGATCTTCATAATGATTTTTTAACAAGGGAGTACATGCTACAAAATTGAACACAGACACTAGACTTATAAGAATACATGCTCAATCGAGCTGCAGTTTGGTTTACTTGAGCAGCTCGGAGGTGCTGATGAATGATCAGACTACCTCTAAGAACCAAACATGGGGTGGTTTGTTGGTATTCTCTATCTCCACCTTGAACATGTAATCTCACAAAACTTCATGAGCCTTCCCATAGTACCTGTTGATGAATGGAGACTGCAGCACAGAGCAAAATTTAAAGACTTCGTGTAAGACTAGATGATTATCACTTCATTCATTTAGTTATCAGTTTAGATTTTTTACCAAAAAGACAATATACCCCATCTAAAGAGAAAGACACATTTGTAAAACTGATCTGGGAAACTATTACACACATCAAGTTATTACAACACATTAATGTCAGAAAAAACAATTTTCATGGCTCAAAAGCTCCAGTAGGAATAGTGTCAGCTAGCCTTTGGGCAAATCATAACACCCGAAGTACTATTTAAATCTTTTTCAATTTATGTTTTTTCTAGAGAAACAAGTCTTAACATACTCTCAACTTTATGTTGTCGATAAATGTCATACAAAGAGAAAAGTTGAAATCAGGAATCTGACCTTCACATTTGATACATCGGGAGCATCAGGTGAGTCGACGGGATAAAACTTGTAGAATACCATCTTTTCAAATGCAGCTTTTGTTTCCTCACTCATTTCAGCTATGGCCTTTCTCCGGGCTTCCCTTGCCTGTGGTACAAAATCAAAATTGTGGTCAGTGCAATGAGACAAACTAGATATAATGTTTTCTTTGAAAATATGAAAGGTGAGGTTCGCAAGAACATTAAACCAAATACCTCGCGGTTTGCCTTTTTGGCTTCACGGACCTTTTCCTTTACAAAGTCCTGATATACAATGAAACATAAGGGAACTATTTTAAAATCAATTTCCAAGATCACAAAAAATACGTAGGGCCAATTCCACGTCCATTTTGTCTATATTCCATTCCCCAAATGGAAAAACTTTTCACTAAAAAGGTTTGGAAAATAAAAAATGCTCAAGAGTTCCTCAATTTTGAATGCTCTTTCATCTTGAACATGAACTCAGCTTCCTCTTTTAGTTATTCACTTTACGGAGAAAAGAAAGATCTCCCATTTAATATAAAAAAAAACCTATATAGAGTAAAAAAGCAACTATAGCATGCAAATTGCAAAGAAACGTTTACCTTGAATGCATCTTTTTGATCTGTGGACAACTCCTCTTCTTCAATAAGTTTGTCTGTGAATTCCTGCAATATTTACAATCAAGTAAATTGCAAATAAGGTTTCTGATGCAGACAAGTTGTACCCTCTAACAACAGATACATTGGTTCTTTTTTAAGTTTTTGTTTGGCTCAATAATCTACTGGATTCTTGGAGCATTATATGCTAAAACGTCAAATATGAACAGCGGATAAAAATGCTTTTTAGTTAGAGGCTCTCAAAAATGCTTTGATGTCAAGACTATTCAGAAAACAGCTAGGCCAACAAGCACTATTGAGTATATCCCATTATCAACCAGGTAAGTTGAGGATAGCGACCACAAGACCTTTAACCTTTTGCAATTTCAACATAAACAATTAAGTATATACTAGCAATTGACTCTTTTACTAAAAAATACCTGAAACAGGTATTACATGGCACTATTACCTATGGAGTATTTGATTAAAATAAAATCACATTTAGGACTTCATGACAGTCCACATTGTTAATCCAGCAAGTGGCCGGACTTATCAGTTATCACAAACAGTGGATGGATGGATGGATGGATGGATGGATGGATGGATGGATGGATGGATGGATGGATGGATGGATGGATGGATGGATGGATGGATGGATGGATGGATGGATGGATGGATGGATGGATGGATGGATGGATGGATGGATGGATGGATGGATGGATGGATGGATGGATGGATGGATGGATGGATGGATGGATGGATGGATGGATGGATGGATGGATGGATGGATGGATGGATGGATGGATGGATGGATGGATGGATGGATGGATGGATGGATGGATGGATGGATGGATGGATGGATGGATGGATGGATGGATGGATGGATGGATGGATGGATGGATGGATGGATGGATGGATGGATGGATGGATGGATGGATGGATGGATGGATGGATGGATGGATGGATGGATGGATGGATGGATGGATGGATGGATGGATGGATGGATGGATGGATGGATGGATGGATGGATGGATGGATGGATGGATGGATGGATGGATGGATGGATGGATGGATGGATGGATGGATGGATGGATGGATGGATGGATGGATGGATGGATGGATGGATGGATGGATGGATGGATGGATGGATGGATGGATGGATGGATGGATGGATGGATGGATGGATGGATGGATGGATGGATGGATGGATGGATGGATGGATGGATGGATGGATGGATGGATGGATGGATGGATGGATGGATGGATGGATGGATGGATGGATGGATGGATGGATGGATGGATGGATGGATGGATGGATGGATGGATGGATGGATGGATGGATGGATGGATGGATGGATGGATGGATGGATGGATGGATGGATGGATGGATGGATGGATGGATGGATGGATGGATGGATGGATGGATGGATGGATGGATGGATGGATGGATGGATGGATGGATGGATGGATGGATGGATGGATGGATGGATGGATGGATGGATGGATGGATGGATGGATGGATGGATGGATGGATGGATGGATGGATGGATGGATGGATGGATGGATGGATGGATGGATGGATGGATGGATGGATGGATGGATGGATGGATGGATGGATGGATGGATGGATGGATGGATGGATGGCAAAAGATTAGTAGGTTACCTCAAGTTCATCAAGTTCCCAATCAAATTCACAGAAAACCTATAAGAAAAGATCAAATATAAAATGAAAGAGAATATTTCAGTAAACGTATCTTGTAATATCTGAGCTCTGAAGGAAATTCTGTTTTAGACTTCTAAATACAAACAAATCATACAGGTTTGGGATCTATTGGGTAAATGATAGGAACAATAGTGCTCTGTTCAAACTCATCTTCCTTGAAGGGGTGGTAGAAATCTGTGAACACATTAGACATTTGTGAGTTGACTTCCCGTTGAGGCTATATACACAAAATAACAGCACATAACTCCACAGTGAGCACCAATGAAAAAGTACTGAATTCAAGAAATGGATTTAATACATGAATTGGTGAAAACATACATTGGTGAACCATTTTCATGACACATGACCGAAAGAGTAAAGCAACACAGCATGTCAATATGAAATGGTGCACAATGTCATTAATCTTTGTCAATTACATTTATTAGACTATGACTCGTGTGCATGTGTGGTGAAAAGAATGAAACAAAACAGAAACAGAATACAAGTTCAGCAAGTATCAAAATTCCATGGGTGAATGACAAAATAAGTTCAATTTAGTCTCATAAGGCACACAACAAAATTCCATGTCAACTAGAATGCATAACTATACAATGCATATCTCAGCAAGGAAATGCATATCCTATTAGAAACATTTATTCAGTGACAGTTAAAAAAAAAACACCCCAGCCCAAGTATAAAGCAGAGTACATCCAACATCCAAGGAAATGCATCACTAAAATACTGCCATTGATTAGAGAAAATGCAAATATTAGCAAGGTAAAATATATTCACTCACATGGTAAGCAATATTCAAACTTCTTCACACGCTCCAACTTCAAATGTTTTAAGCCAGCTCTATGAAGACAATGAAGACGATTTAATTCAAAAAGTTGACCGCTTAAGGCCAAAAGGTGCTACCGATGTTCGACAGAGAAGTGTGGGATGCAAAAATGATTTTAGGTAAGTGTGTTTAACTTAAAACAATCTGTACAACAATAGAATTGCTGCTCACCCTAATTTTGAAAAAATACTACTATACTAGATAGAAGCCCACAATAAAAACAATTGTTGGGACAAATAAGTGAATAAGAGCACCTCAAAGGTAGACCAAAAATCTCTGGACCAACTATTAGGTTTTAAAAGGCATTCTAGGGGCCCCAACAATAGGATGATCATAAAACTAGCAGAAAGTATAAAGTATTTCAATGCACAATGCAACATACCTTCTTTGTGTACAACCCAATATAAATATTTGGGATTTGAGTCTTTCAACCTGAGAACCCCTGAATGAACAAGAAATTGAATAAACAATTCGCATAAAAAATAAAACAACGCACCCAGTAAAATCCCTTTATGTGAATTTAACAAATATATGACAATACCTATTGTCCAAAGGTATATATGGAATCCAATCCATTTTCATCTGTTTCATGGGCACTATTTCTTCAGCTTCCCTCTGTACAGAGTTTATTCCAATTTTGTCTGAAGGTGGAAAAGGTGAAACAACCTGTCCAATAAGAGATTTGGGAAGAGAGTTGAGGAAAATATCAAAACTAATTAAAAGTAGCAAGACATCAAATTGATGAAGTAGAAGGACACAATTGCAGAAATGCTATAAATACAACAAGATCAATGTATGACAACATATGTTTGCTTTTTTTATTCATGCGCCTTAGAACAAATGGGATGCTTTATAGACTTAAATTCCTACAGGCAAAAAGACAATTCATGTCCAGATAGGAGTAACATAAAAAGCTTGAGAACTTACAGCAACCACAACTGGTATGCAAGTGATTTTTGATTGACCTTGGAATGAAACCAATTGTGCTGCAGCAAATAAAGGAGAATTTAGAACAAGATAATTGATAACAAGAAAAGAAAAAATACAAAAGGTATGTAAACAATGTGTTATGCCAAGACAGTTGATAATGACAAACCAAAACTGTTGAAATAGTATACAGTAAAAATGCTAAAAATCTAGACCGTACTGTAAGCAATTAATGCAACAAGGCAGTAGATCGCCGAAAGCCACATTAATATTTAATTCTATTGGAGAATAATCTTGCCCATCACATAGAAAACATATGATGTAATTCAACCAGAATGCTATAGTGCACACTATCTCCAATATGGAGGATGAATTTATGTTACATTGGGCACTTACGTTCTGTACATCCAAAAAGGAATACTTTTTTTCCACATAACTTTCCTCCTTCTTCAAAAGCATCCTGTGCACACATTTCAATTCAGTAACCTTTTCTTCATAAATTTAGTTTTATAAATTGAATTGGTGAAACCAATTTCAAAGGAAAAATACAAACAAAGCACTTTTGCAAACTAAACTACTAACCTCCAGATTTGAGAAATTCCACTTATACTGATATACCATGTCCAGCTGATCCCACTGCAAAAGGAGATCAATTAAAAATCCAAGTTAGTGAGTGAATTGGGAAGTACCATTGTGATTCTATCTAATCTCAACTCTCTAATGGCTGATAACATTAAGAAATCTATCAGAAGCACACCTCAGTACCGACAGGAAAAACCTGTTGCCATAGATCTTCCTGCAAACAAAGGATAACAAAATGTAAGCAAACGAAAAGATTCTTTAACAATCAGACCAAATTGATATCAATAGAAAGCAGAAGTGCAATTCGACTATGTCTTTCTGGGAATATCATATTTTAGCAAAAGCTTTAGTATCAGTGAACTGCCTATATTTTTATAATGTTATGCCAAAATAAAGCAGAACTTAAAATGAGAGCATCATCTACTTTATGTTTGGGACGAATTACAAAAGCACATAAGCTGGAATTGCTATAAGCTCATTATTGTATCCTATTTGTAAGACATTCTTATAAGCAAAGTATGCATATACGTTACATAAATGAATCAACAATTCAGCTTCTTTACCACATAAAGGACACTATGAGTTATGTGAGATACTTGATTTTGTATATAGCATTATACTAACTTCTTAAGGACACATCAAGGATGATATATTTGAAATAAAGCTTTTAAAAACTAAATATGCCACATAACGGGCATGCCTGTATGGACAGAAACTAAATATCATCAACCACGTGGTAGATCCGAATCACAAGCTCAAATTCACAGCCACTAATAACCAACATTGGATAATAACTACCAAATAAAGCCAATAATATTTACCAAGTTACGCTTATCAGGAAAGTATTCGGTTTCAGTCTCGATCTTGGCAGTCCTAGCTCGTTTAGCTCGAGGCTTGATAGGTTTTTTGATCGGCTTGCCCTCAGACTTGGTCAACTCTTCCTTGTGATTGTCCTGAGCAGCAGGTTGACTTTGCTCCTCCGCCGCCTGACTTTGCTGCGTCTCGTTCCCATTTTCCTCCGCGGAAATGCTCTCCGTGACCTTCTCCTTCGCCTCATCGGGAGCTTTTCCCTTCTGGCTCGCCTTTCTTTTAGCTCCTTTCCTCATTTCGATATATATAGAGAGAGAGAAAAAGCGTTTGTCTGTGAGTACAAATTTAAAGAGAGATGCACGAATATGGCGGTTGGATGGATGGATGCTGCAAATTTGAATAGAAAGGGCTGAAATAGGATGGCGGAAACCAGGAAGGGGAAGAACCTAGCGAGGCGGCCGACATGATAGCGTTATTTCTAAGCGCGTGTGGAGTACTCGAATTTTTGGTGAGATGTTTCACACGAGGGAATTTTTGAAATTAAAAAATGGAGCAAGTTCGGGCCGGGCTGCCTATGGACCCCGATGCATTTGTCTTCACTAGTCACTCCTGAGTCCTCACTACATGTTTTCTTTTGGACTGAAATTTGCTGGTCTAATCTGGTCTGGTAAATGTCTAGTCTCTGTGTATTTTATAACTACAGAAGTCTGGTCTGGTCTGGTTTAGTCTGATTTGGTCTGGTCTGGTCTGATCTGTGACTTAAAACAGTCCAAAAGAAAAGTGTCGTTTTCCTCCAACGACATGTTAGTTTTGAAATGGTAAAAACATGTTTGGGAAAGTTCATGAAATAAAAATAAAAACATTTATAGAAATAACTACTATCAAGTGCCAATCATTGTTTTCTTTCAACTTCAAACGAGGAGCCATATGATGAAAAGTGAGAAGGTGGACCATGAACAGGACGACAGTGAGCAGCAATTTAAGGACGCACGATGGGCAGCGACGGTCGGGGAGCGACAGGTTTGGTGAATGTTAGAGTTCAACCGGAGATGGAATATCAATCACGACGGTACTGATGATCTGATCTCCTCCTCGACCACCACCATGAGTTGAGAAATTTATCCTATTAGTTATTGTTATTTGTTGTTTGGATTCTTATTAAAGTCTGTGTTGCTAGGGGTGTCAAGATGATTGTAAATTTAGCTTATTTTAATGTAGTTAGAAGTATACGAATCTATAAGACCAATGATAGTTGTGTCAAGCCCGTTTCGTGGTTACCGATTCGTGTTGGTCTTTCAGGGGTGACTGTTTCAATGTGTAATCGTAGGATTTACATTCGTAGTTGATGGAGGTTAGTTGGTGTCATGTATGATTTTTCTTTCATTGATTTAACGATCATGAAACTAATGATATAAATATAGGTGATTTCCTTTAAAACAAAATTACTATCAAGATTTGAGAATTTTGTGATTTTTGTACTAGTTATGTACTTGTTGAGGTTTAATCCTCTCAATCCAAAGGTTGAACAATCTCTTTTGGGCTTTCGTAGAATTTTGATGGGATGGATATATTTTAGTAGATTCATTAACTGTTTTGTGGCAAGAAGAGTAGAAAAGGTAAGGGGATCAAGTTCTATTAAAGACTTAGAACAATTACAGCACACATTACCGAGGTGAGTGTCGTACCCTATTCTAAGCTGAGAGTATATAAGTAGAGAGAAATGTTAAAAGTTAATAAATACAAGTTGTCAACCCTATATAATGAAATAAATACTTCTATTTATACTACCATGCATGAAGTAGGCGGCGATGGTGACATGACGAACCCTAAGTGGCTAGCCCCCAAGCATGAATTTTTTTATATCCACGCTTCCCGTCAAAATCACTGATTTCTCGCCAATTATTCTAAGAGAGCCTATTGAGAGTCTTTTGACTATGGCCTAGACAATTTATTCAAGGATCTCGTGTAGTACAGCACACGCCACGCGGGTGGAGCCACACAGCCCTAGGCCCTAAGGGGTATTGGGTCTCTCCAGTGCTAGGCCAATTATCCCAATACAAATCTCTCACTTCTGATGTAGAAGAGAAAATAGGCCTGAGCCGCGTGACCCCGACACTACAAGGTAACATTTGACATGGCGGTTCTCAAGGTTTTGAAGTCAAGATTATGGCAAACGTTTCAACTCTTAAGGATTTCGTGATAATTACCTAAAAAGTGAGTGAACAAAAAAGAAAAAGTGATGATTTGGCAAAAAAGTAACTGATTTGATAAAATAATTTGTAAGTGGAAAATACGACCAACAAAGAGGCTCTTAATCACTTGGTGGATGTTTGGTAGCTACTCCCTCCGTCCCAATATAAAGAGCACATTTGCTTTTTCAAACATTTTTAGGAGAAACATTGTTTGACACTATTTGGACACTGTTTGACACTGTTTGGACACTGTTTGGCACTATTTTGTTTGCCAAAAAGGGAAATGTGCCTTTTATATTGGGACGGTCCAAAAAGGAATATGTGCCTTTTATATTGGGACGGAGGGAGTATGATTTATGATTTTCAGACTTATAAGTCAACTTTTTCACCAAACATGTAATTTTTTGTTTTACGGGCTGAATTATGTAATAATAAGAAAAAGTAAGCTTGACGTTATTTTTCTGACTGTACTAGATTCTCACCCGCGCGATGCGCGGGATATAAGAATGTAATAGTCATATGATATTATTTGTAAACAATATACACGTGTGAAATGTTTGGAAATTGTGTTAGACGTCTGCATAAGAAATTTTAATTAAAGATCGAAAACTCAGAGATAGGTAGTAAATATGTTTTGGAATAAGTAGATAAAAAGAAATGTTATACGGTGATGTAATGTTGTTTGTTTACATGAACAATAATGTCTAAGAATCATAAAATTATAATGTATAAATGCACAAAAAGAAAATAGAGGTACGTAATAAAAGTACCATAATAATAAATGGTCAAAAGATCAAGTATGATTCGATCAATATACGTCGGAATGTGAAATTTGGCTACATTTCTCATAAACTACTTCCTCTTTATTAACATTGATCGATATGACATTAAATTAGGAAGTGGTGCAGTCATTAAGAGAAGAGAGTTTACATGGTCAACATTGAGTTATTAAAATAACAATAAAGAACAGTTTATAATCACATAAATTTTATCAAAATTTTGTATGAGACCATTTTAGTGGAATGTACCAAAAAAGAATCATGAGATGATCTTAACATGATGAATGAAGTATAACAATATGAGCATGGAGTATGCCACATTTTTTATTTTCACTGTGTACATATTTTTATATTATAACCATGAGAAGTAAATAATCAATACTATACGTAGTGTGTAATTAAATACATAAAATATGTAAAATATACTTCGTATTAACTTTAAATATTATAAAATATAAAATAAAATTTTATTTATAAAAATAGAATATAGAACATAAAAAATATTACGTATATGATATATGGAATAAAAATATTATCCACATTCAAGACCACTTTAAGTCTTTAACAATACAATTATATATTCCATATATCATCCCTTTAAAATTAAAAGAAACCCATATAATCAGCTCAAGTCCAATTCAGCCCAGTCCAGGTACCCCATTAAATATCAAATGAGCCCAACCCTAGCTAAACTTGACCTATATAAATCGTCCTTAACAGTGCGCCGCTTCAGATTTTCCGTACACATCACTCAGAGTACCACCGGTTAATCCGATGGCTTCTCATATCAGCGTTCGGTCGGTTGCCCGTTTCCTTCATTCGGTGTTATCCGATTTCTCCCAAACCTTGTTTACCATCCGTCATTGATTATTAGCCACCAATCCATCGCTACATACGTTGAAATGAAATCAGCGCTATTCAGTTTAGAGCTTCCTTAACCGACTGTAGGAGGTGGGTGAAGAAATTCCTACAGTGGCTAAAGTAAATCCTCATCAGACCATTGAAATTTCTCAGATCATGTCTTCACTCCTCTCTCGATTTCGGTATAACCCTTGCATCACCATCCTTGACTTTTAATTTGTTTAAGCGGTTATAAATTACTATTTTCTCTTTTGATTTTTTTAGAGTCTCTTACTTTTTGATTTTGTGTAGATATCCCCGGTTTCTATCACTTTTAAGATTGGTTTGATGGTGTTGTGTCTCTTTTCTTTGAAAAATGGATGCTGGTTTTCTTTTCTTTAAAAATTGAACGTTTGTTTTTTTCATTGCTGCTTGTCCAATATGTTTTCACGTTTTAAGCATAGGCAAAAGGGTTTACACGATTTGCTCAGTTAGTCTATTTCGGCCTAATATATAACAGCGATTTTTTTTTTGGGTTTTAAGGTCTTAACTGATGTAAATTATTTCAAGCTTTCAGGGCTAAACTGTTTGCAATTTTGTTTTAATATAAGTGGTTATGGTTTTGTTAAAGCCCAAATAGCACCCAGACTATATGTTTATACCTATTATACCAATCTAGAATCTTGAATGATAAGACTGATGATCACATACATTATCACTTATGGCTAAATTTGAATATTTAAACTGTAATGTTTATTAAATCTTTAACAGATAATAGTTTTTTAAAAAAAGTATTTGGAGAAAGAATTAGTTGAAGCCCTCTAACTTGGTAGCAATTATTATAAAGAATAGCAATATCTGAAATAAGGGAGTTGTTTGTTCAAAAAAAAAAATAAGGGAGTTGTTCTGCTCAGTCATTTCTTATGCCTAAACTAAAATTTTGAACTCAATATTGAAATATGTATCATACGTATATGATCGATCCATTCTAGTGCCATTTGAATGTACATCCTCCTAAATCCTAATAAACTGTGGTGCTCGTCTCTAATATTTCTTATTTAATTGCAACTTGTTTTTTAAATATAAAGGCTTGCTCATAACTTTGTCTTGAAATCACTTGAACTCATTCCAAGTAAACTGATGCATAGCATCTTTGATTCTTGACTCCTACATTCCCAGTTGTGCAACTTAAATGTTGTGAATTTAATCACCTGAACAAAAATATAAAATATGTCACTTACAATGGTAATATCTATTGTTTAGGTCAAATTTTTATCTATCGGAATTTATAAAATAAATCTAATACTTCATATTTTCATTTGCCTTTCAAAAAAATCATACTTCATGCATTTCTTTTTTGAGATTTCTTAGTAATTCATATATTATGTTACTCACTTTCAGTTTCACGTGAATGAGTTCATATGCATATATATGCATCTATTTCAGAAAGTTGATCAAAATTGAGGTGCTTACCTACTTTCTTTGAAAGACATTTTGAAAGACATTTCTTTCTTTCCCAAATTTGAAAGACAATTTGTGTTTTTTCCCAAATTTGAAAATTGACGTCCGTACCTACTTTCTTTGATTCCTGATGATGATGGAAGACCAACTCCAGTTTTTGCCCTCTATTTTAATGGTTGTCACCTTAAATGGGTCTTACAATGCTTAACCTCAATGTCTATGCTCATGTATGCA